CCAACAGCTAGCATTCTGAATAGTTTGCTTTGATGGAGTCACATTACAGTAATTCTGAAAGAATTACATTGGCTGCCTGTTTACTTCTAAGCCTAGTTAAGATGCTGGTTCTTTCAAGCTTTTAAGAGACTCACATGGTTTAAAGAACGTTCCCTCCCATATAGACTTTTACATGCATTAATCAGCCTTTTGTGTACTGGGCATTATCTGGGGTTTTTTCCCTCCATGGGTGGGAGGCTTTTGGGTTATTAGGTGAATCTAAGAAGCTCATCGCATTCTTAAATAATACGGTTTAGCTGATTCGGTTTAAGATTTAAAGTGGGCAGCATCCTGATATTATCACAAGGATTTAGCCGCCGAAATCATTGCCCGGGTCCATCCCGGGTCCATCCCTGCTCCTAAAGGCACTCAGAGTGCCTCTTTTCAAAGCTGGGAGTTTTCTGGTTTAAGAAAATAGCCACTGGAGTGGCCCTGGGAGCAGGGCTGGACCTGGGCTGGAATTAGGTAGTAATTTCATTGGCTAACTCCTTCTGATAATATCAGGATGCCGCCCGCTTTAAATTTTAAACTGGATCAGGTAACCTGTATTATTTAAGAATGTAATAAGCTTCTAACATTGATCTGAGCTGTTCCCAGACTGCAGGATGATTCTCCACTCTGGGCAAATTAGTGTACCTTTCCCCATTCCTCACTGGGATAGTACTGGTATGGCATCTTTAAAGCAATTCCCTATAGTCACTTTCTACTCAGGTAAGTGCATGTTATCTCCCTTGGCAATGGTGCAATTACCATGCCAGCTGGATCAACGTTAATTGCTATTTATGAAAGCTTGTGAGTTAAAAAAATCCTTCTGAGCTGTGCATCTTGTGTCAGCAACAGGATGCATTAACATGATGGCTAATTAAGCCACAGCACTTCAGTGAGACTTTAGGATAGCATATTCATTACTGGCTTCTTTGGTGAGACTTTGATTAATCCTTACTAAACATATAAGAAAACAAGAATGAAAGGATAACTTTTCTGCTTGAATGGGATTGTCATTCTCTCTTAATTTACTTCCTACAGCTGGGACAAATTTAACAGGCCACCAGATGTCACTATGATCTTCCTTCTATAATGGAGTGTGATACAGAACTAATTCTCATTGTGTGGGTTCAACTGAATATTTGCAGATTCATGTAGGATTTTAAGAAACGTTTTTTTTTTAAATATTTTGGTACTATAAAAAGAGGGCAGAGGGAGCAAAGCTAAATTGTTTCCTGAAATATCAACTTCAAGGGTTAAAAAAAAGTGAAGAAACTCATTGGTGCAGATTTGATATTCTTAAACACTCAGAATGTGGACAAGTATTGAATCAGCCAGAAATGTGACAGCAAAAATAAATAATGAGATATGAACTCTTCATGGTTATTTTGAAACTAGTATTCATTTGCTTTCTTAGAGAGAATTTTAAAAACATTCATTTCCCAAGAGTTCCCATCTGGTTTATAGTATTGGTGCATGGGCTTTTCCCACAAACAAAGCATGTTGCTACAACACCCAAAACAGGTGTTTTGATGTTATGCAACCATATTAGGGAACTGCAGTGTTGCACAATGAGACACCATGCAAGATGTCCTTTTGCTTAACTGGGTTTCACATAATAGATGAACCCCACAGGACATCTCATAGTATAGTGGGGCCTCCCAGCATAGAACAGGGCCATAGCACAGAGCACAACATGTTTCTGCTGGGCAGAGGGTACCCATGATTTTACACTGAGCTCTGTACTGGATTATCAGTGCTCCATGGGGAGCATTAGCTGCTCTCTCCTTGCACTGTCATTGTGAAAGGGTACCCTGTCGCATAAAGTGCCATACTATTGTGCAACATGACCATTTCACAATGGCCATGCTCCTAACTCTGCTTTTGCAAGGGTCCTATAGTGCAGCTGTGACAACACTCTCTTCCTGGGAATGTACCCATTGTGTGATACTGCAGTCCTGAACTGTGCAATTGTAAGTTGGCTTATGACTTCGTAAATTCCCAACAGGATACCATAGTTTCCTGTTGCATTTGAAGCTAAGATTGCAAAGCAGTGTTTGATTTTAATTTGTATTTCTGGTCCCAATGTAAATCATTTGACCAAGTCTGGATGAAACAGAAATTTAACCACAAAAAGAGGAGAGGGTTCTTCTAATATTCTTCCCCCATGTGTAGAATGAAGCAGGATAGGGTTGCAGACACCTAAGATTTGAACTTGCTAATTCTTCCAGTGCCAAATCATAATTGCCTGAAATTATCATTGTTTCACACGATCAAAGTGTTTCATCAAGAGAGATCAATATTATAGTACTGTTACTTTCCTGACTATATAGCAGCCTGGTCTACCTGAATGTTAACTGTGCATGTACAGAACCTCATTTTATTTTCCAAGGTAAAAAAAAGATATTAGAGAAGGATGTGTTAGTGGGTTTAATAAGAATGCATTCAGATCCAGCTGCACTAATGGCAGAAAAACTATCTTGAAGGGGGATTAGAAAATATTCCTCACTGCTAACATTTTAAAGTCAGAATCACCATCTAACAATAATTATTATTTTATATTTTATATCTGCATGTAAACACTCGGAACCAACCCCCATTACAGTATAGTGACTGGGATACAGAATCTACAAAATGGTCTAGCCTGAGTCTCACTTGGGATCTGTTGTGTTGTAGAAAATGTGGGCTGAGATATTAATGGGTCCTGGCAAAGCATAAAGATGTACCATTGTAGTTATACATGAGTTTGTAAAGGGTGAAGATTGCTTTTTCTCCTTTTGTGCAAAATGGAAGCTGGAAGACAGAAGGGTACCAGTCTCCAATTGGGTTGGGAGTGGAGCTGCTCCTTGGCACATTCAGCTGTTGTGCTGGAAAAGATATTGTGAAAGAAGGTTCTCGACATCTCATTGTATAACATTTAAGAGAGTATATATCCAGGGGTACTCATATATAGCAAAGTACAGTGCAGTATCATCTAAAATCCACAAAACAGTGGTGATCCCTTTACTAGGCCAACCAAAATGCACATTATACATGTTTTAAGCTTTTGAATCTCCACTGGCTTCTTCATCAGGCAAAGATGTTAAACATGATACAAAAGAAAGAAAGGAAAAGATAATGTTAGTCATAGTCCTGCATTTGGTCAAGATTTTGTCCTCAGTTCAGATGGTATGGAAGAGTATTCATCCTTCTGGTTATGTGGGTACTGGGAGATCCAGTCCAGGACATAAACTTTAAGTTTCAGTAGCGAGATAAAAAGCTACTGCCTGTGAGATCCAGTTTGTCTCAAATCCTTTGTGAGATTACAAGCCCCTTTGTTAGGAAGAGAACACTGAATTTGGATATGTTTTGTGGTTATGCTAGTGTAAGTCACTAAGAGAATTCCAGCTAGAATCAACAGGATCACACCTAACAGGAACATACAAAATTTGCTTCTCATTCCCATTATGAGCTGCTCATTGGCATGTCTAGCTCTTTTGCTGCTGGGACAGTTGATGGACAGTTTTAGAACTATTATGGATCAAGATATAAGGAGATGCATTTGGGATAATGGCTTGGAAATAATCTGAAATTCTTCTATCTATTCCTTTAGATAATTCCTTTAGATAATAACAGCAATGAATACTAGCAGTATGATGATAGAAAGCAAGCAGTACTGCAAGGTAATATGGGAAATTAAAATGGATTAAAATCTCCCTGAAATGCTATAATCATAGGCATTTATGCAGAAATAAGTCCTACTGTGTTCTTTAGGCATGAGTGTATATGAAAGTAGGGATAGGATTTATAGTGATCACAGTAAGGTTGCTGCTGTTATACTTTTAGGAACTAGTTTTTTTCTTGGAGAGAGTCAGCATGACATAATGGTTTGAGTGTTGGACTAGGACTCAGACACCAGGGGTTCAAATCCCCACTCAGACATGGCAACTCACTGGATGACTTTGTGCAAGCTACACTCTTTGTGAAACCCACACTCTTGCAGTCTTAGATTAAGGTAATGGCTAACCTCTTCTTAGAATCCTGTCAAGAAAATCCTAGGATAGGGTTGCCATAACCTGGAGTCAATTTGAAGTTATACAATATGGTGATGATGCATAATTTTGGCTTTGGATGATTAGTAAATAGGGCAGCTTCTTTCTTGGAGCCAGGGAATGGGAGGGGCAGGCGGATGCCCCATCCCCTTCCCGAAAACGTCATCCTGGTTTTCATGCTGGAGGGTATGAAGTTCTACATTGCTGTGCAGTGTGGCCTTTTAGGCAGAGAAGTTGCATACTTCAATGGGAATGCAGCCTCCATGTGCAATATGTAGCAACATTTGTGACATATTTGTGCACTAAGCTTTACTGTATGGAATCTATGTGTTTTGCATTTAACTGACACATGGAGCACAAGGAGTCTGAAAGACTGACTTAATACAAGACTGCAAGGTATTGAAAAAACAGACCTATATTGAAAATGTTGCTCTTAGGGGCATTGCAGACCAACCTAAAGGGCCGGCCTGAGGCTGGAGTTGAGGCGGGGCACGCTGCGCCAAAAGGATGCGGAAGAGCCACGGCGCCGACTCTTAGAGCAGCCTTTTGCCACCCCTAAAAGAAGCGGCATTTTGCTGCTCTTTTAGGGAGCAAAAGGCAAGATTGGGGCCATGGCATGTGGTTGCCATGACCCCAATCCGCCATTAGCAGGGGCGGCCCAGAGCCGCCTGTCTGCATAGCCCCTTAGTCTCTAAAACCACTTTTTTGCATATGGCTTTTTTTTTAAAAAAATATCCTGAATAGATGATGTCACATGCAGAAAAAAAAAATGCTCTGCACCCAAGTTTATTCACATTATTTGTCTATGGCTTGTTGCACCATTGAACTGTAGTGCAAAGGAACAAAGCAGAGACATTCTATTACAAAGATTAAGAAGAAGCTATCAGGCTGAGCACGTGTTTGAAAATACAGCTAATAGCATACCAATTAAATGCATGATTAGAAGCTTCTACTTTAAAACCTGTGCAGCTAATAATATTCAGAACTGAACCATCTCTTTTCAGTGCATTTTAGCACTTTGTCAATTGGATTGCTATTTCTGAATGTAATGAGTATCTTTCCCTCACTCTGTCACCTCAGTATTAATACAGTTGACATACTCTCTGAGAAGGGTCCCTAATCAAACTTGGATGGTACTTTTTTGATATTTTTAATTGCAAATTTTGTCCCTTATTCATCCTCCAGAATCTAAGGAATATTTTCACTTTACTACAGCACTATTGAAGAGATCAAGAATATTGAAGTAAGTTCCATATCTGTCACTTCCCAGATCATCTCACCACCAGGAAATGTAAGAGCCTATTAAGCACTTTTCATGTATCCCCTATATGCGTATGTCAAACAAAGAGGGTGTGTGTGATTTCACCCTGTTGGTATGCCACTTTATGTAACTGTTGGCACTATTTCCAAAATCCATGTGTTGAGAAGGATGCTTGTAAAGGGGCACCTATATGCCTCAAGTAGTTTTCAATCAAATAGGTAGTTCACAATTATCTAGGATGTTGAGTAGCATGGAACACCTACCTGCATATTTTGTTGTTGTCAATTGCTTTTGAGTCAACCTTCACTCATAGCAACCCTATGTATGAGAGACCTCCAAGTCACCCTATCTTCAACTGCCTGCTCAGCTCTTGCAGATTTATGGCTGTGGTTTCTTTGATTGAGTCTATCCGTCTGGAATGAGGTCTTCCTCTTTTCCTATTATCCTCCACTTTACCTAGAGTTATAGTATTTTCTAGTGAATCATCTCTTCTCATGATATGGCCAATATATGACAACTGAAGTTTAGTCATATTTGATTCCAGGGAGAGTTCAGGCTTGATCTGCTCTAGGGCCTTTCCATTGGTCTTTTTAGCAGTCCACAGTAGTCCCAGAACTCTTCTCCAGCTCCACATTTCAAATGAATTGGTTTTCTTCCTGTCACCTTTTTTCATTGTCATTCTCATACATAGAAATGAGAAATATGATAGCAAGGATAGTCCTAACTTTAGTATTTAATGATAAATCTTTTCACTTCAGTATCTTGTCTAGTTCCTTTATAGCTGCCCTTCAAGTCCTAGTCTTCTGATTTCTTGATTGCATTCTCAACTCTGATTGATGACTGAGCCCAAATATGGACAATCTTGGACTATACTGATGTCTTCTGGGACAGCTTACAACATTAAAAATATACATTTCATATCCCACACTCCCACCCACCACTTAAATACTATTAAACAATAACAATTTAAAACACACTTAAAATAAAATACGAATAACAAAATAACAATAACTATAACTGCTGCAGAATCAGGGGAGCAGGTTGGGCTATCCCTTGATGGCCGGGATATCTATTCAAGAAAGGCCTGCCAGAAGAGATCTGTCTTAACAGCCTTTTTAAAGCTGTTCAATGTGGTAATATGATGGATCTCATCTGGCAGGCCATTCCATAATCTGGGAGCAGTTGCCAAAAAGGTCCTCTGGGTGGTTGCAGACAGCCTAGTTTTTATAGGCTGCAGCAGATTGTTTGATGTTCTCAACATGCAAATTAGATAGGGTGATAGAAAGCAGCCTTGCCTGACCCCCTTTCTAATTGGAAACCATTCTGTTTCTCCATATTCTATCTTAACAGTAGCCTCTTGTCCTGAACCATCAGATGTTGTGGCACAGACATTTCTTTAAGATTGATCTATAGTTTCTTATGATCTGTACAATCAAATGCTTTGTTATAGTCTATACAGCATAAACTTTTGAAACTCTTTAGTATTTTCCATTATCCAGCATATGTTTGCTATATGATTCCTAGTGCCACTTCCTTTCCTGAACGCTGCTGGGACATCTGGCAATTCTTGCTCCATTTATGTTAAGAGTCTTTGTTGTAGAATTTTAAGCATCACCTTGCTTGCATGAGAAATAAATGCAATGGTTTTGTGATTACCACAGTTCCTGGTGTCTCCTTTCTTGGGGATTGGACTATATACTGAGTGTTTTCTATCTGTGGGCCATTGTTTTGTTTTCCAAACTTGTTGATATATCTTTGTTAAAACTAGAGTAGATTCTGCCTCTGTAGGCCTGAATAGAACTGCACATATTATAGGCATTTGTATATGTCTTGCTGGAAGTTCAGATGATGAGCATGGAAACATTAGCAGCAATATACTACTACTCTCTCTTTCATGTATTACACACATCTGTGTAGGATTCCTGTGTGCTGTCAAAACAATAATTTTATCCTCAAGGGGTGGGTCAATGCTAAGGGCTGTAGATCGTATGCATGCACGTGGTAGATGCAGCTGGAGCCTGGAGTCATACAAACTTTCCCCCAGTCATTCTCTCTGAAAAATACCACAGTCAGAGATACATGGGAACAGTACTAGGATTAAAACACATAATGGGATTTTAGCAATTTCATCCTTTTCCATCACCTTTCCAGCTAATTTTCATGGGAGACAACGAAGAAGTACAG